CCGCCGCGTAAGTAAAGGAGGGGGGGGGGGGGGTACTGGAAGTCCTCTCTACTTCCTAGTACAATACATACAGCTGCACCATCTACAGCAGAGATAGGAAACCTCGGGCACTCCGGCTGTTGTGAAACTACAAATCCCATGAGGCACTGGAAGACTGACAGCCGCAGGCATGGATCTCAGAGCCCGCGTTCTGATGGGATTCGTTGTTTGACCAAAGTGTGGGGTGCCAAGGTTGCCCATCCTTATCTACAGCTTCCTCCCACCACTGGAGGTAAATATCTCTTCCCATGGGACAGATGGGGAACCCAACCTGAAACCTGGTTCCGGTACCACTGCTGGTTCCATTGAACCTCTCTGGAAGTTTTGGGGCTAAATATGAATTTACAGCTTGTATTCCTTTGATTAGACCCGCGCGGAGTGATGAGGTCAGCTGCCCATTCTGCAGACAATCCCAGTATTGGTTTTAGTCCGTTTACATTATGTAGATCAGCTTTATCTAAGGGAGGCCATAGACCAGGGGTGGGCAACCTCGGCACGTGGGCTGGGGTGAAACTACAAATGCCATCATGCCTGTAGCTGCCAGAGTCTTGCAGAGGCCTGTAGTTCCACAACAGCTGACGTGCCAAGGTTGCCTGCCCCTGCCATAGACAAGAATTACCTTCCATGGTTCATAACTTTGCATTGCCTACAGCTAGAGGCCCTTTCTGGACCTTCTTCAATGAGAAACCTCCAACTGCTGGAGGGGCTCATTATATCTTATGGAGATTTAAAGTGACACTAACTCAGGAGATAAATCTTAAAACTCCATCCGAGTCCCCGAACTATGAACACCAATGTATCTTATATGTAGATCCTCCGATCATCTCTGACACCGTCCTTCCTTCTGGAGGGTGACTACGTCTGGTTCCCATGGTCCCTGTGTGTGTTGTAGTCACCGCTCCAAGGTCCTCCCGCCCCCGGGATGGACTACAATCTCCATACAAATCAGTAAACTAAACCAGAGATTGTAGTCCATCCCGGGGGCGGGAGGACCTTGGAGCGGTGACTACAACACACACAGGGACCATGGGAACCAGACGTAGTCACCCTCCAGAAGGAAGGACAGTGTCAGAGATGATTGGAGGATCTCCAGCCGAGTGACACACACATAACAGACATTGGTGTTCAGCGTTCAGGGACTCGGAGGGATTTTTACTAGGGATACACCGATACCATTTTTTCCAAACCCAGTACGAATGCCGATACTTTTCCTCAAGTACCAATTACTGATCCCTTTTGCTTAGTGTCATGTGACAGTTTTTCTAAAACGATAGACTAATGATTTTAGGACAGTGGTGGAGTGCCAGCAATACATTATACAGCAATGCAGAATAACATGAAGCTACATACCCTGGGTTGCTCACCAGGGCTGTGCGGCATCTCAGGAGGCTGTGCGGCATCTCAGGAGGCTGTGCGGCATCTCAAGAGGCTGTGCGGCATCTCAGGAGGCTGTGCAGGGTCTCACAGGGGCTGTGCGGCATCTCAGGAGGCTGTGCGGCATCTCAGGAGGCTGTGCGGCATCTCAGGAGGCTGTGCGGCATCTCAGGAGGCTGTGCAGGGTCTCACTGGGGCTGTGCGCAGTCCTCATCAGCGCTGTACAGATGGGTGCGGGTCTCATCAGGGCTGTGCAGGCGGCGGGGAGGAGATGTTCAGCCGGCCGGCACTGTGAGCAAGTGCCGCAAGGTCCCCAGCAAGCACAGGCATTTACGGCAGCTGCTAGTGTTTAAAATGTTAAAGCGCCAGTATCGGGGCATTTTCACGAGTACGGTTATCAGCATCGGCACTGATACTGGTATAAGTACATCCTTAAAAGGAGAATTATGAGGGGGAGGGGCTTGTCACTTCTCCTCATAGTTGGGGGCGACGTGTGACAATGAGACTGTCACAGGTCGGCTCAGTAGATCGGGAGGTGAGAGAACACATACCGGCGTTCGCTCACTTCTCGATCCTGTGCCAGCAGAGAGCCGTGACAGGGGAGGGGCTGGATTCCCCCCACTCCGATCCTCCAGCGCTGACTGGCGGAACGGACGGGGGAGGGGGCGGGTACAGCTGGCTCTGCCTCTAGATAGGAGGAGCCAGCTGTCACTCACGCAGCTGGGCGAATCCAGACATAATTGTCGGGATTCGCTGCGGCGTCTCAGTATACTGCGAGCTGTAGCTCCCTATATACTGAGCCGAGGGTGACGCTAGTTTGTGGCCCCCCCCCCCGACCCTGAGGAGAACTATGGGGAAAAGCCTTAACCTCGTAGTTCTCCTTTAAGATTGAACTCCTGAGTTTACTGTCACTTTGAACATAGTACTAATCTTGGAGTGACCATTGGGGAGAAATTGCCATCGATGGTCTTCCTCAGTAAGCCTCCATGTTTTGGTTCTTCTATACAGATATCAGAGCTCAGCTCCTCGTTGAGGCAGCAACTCGATCATTCCCAGAAAGAAAAGCCTCCCATTCACTAAAGATTTGTAGGAGGAAAAATGCTGAAAATGGACGCAGAGATGATAAAACATCTGACAAGTTCTGGAACGATGACGTATGTTTGTCATATCCGGGACTGGGTGCCGATGGCTAGCAATGGCCCGACACTAGTAAGGGGCAGCTCTATATAAGAATCACCAACACTGAAGATAACTTGTTCCATTTCTTTACACCTCTGAGGCTTCCTCCATTCTTAAAGAGAACCCTAAAGTATTTGTGGCCAGGTGATCAGTAGGGTTAGCCTGACCCAGGTGGTAAGGGGGGTTAGGGTTAGCCTGGCCAAGGTCAGGAGGGTTAGCCTGTCCCAGGTGGTTAGGGGGATAGTGTTAGCCTGGCCAAGGTCCAGAGTGTTAGCCTGACCCAGGTGGTTAGGGGGATAGTGTTAGCCTGGCCAAGGTCAGGAGGGTCAGCCTGACCCAGGTGATGAGGATCAGGAGGGTTAGGGTTAGCCTGACCCAGGTGGTAAGGAGGGTTAGGGTTAGCCTGGCCCAGGTGGTAAGGGGGGTTAGGGTTAGCCTGGCCCAGGTGGTAAGGGCGGTTAGGGTTAGCCTGACCCAGGTGGTAAGGGCGGTTAGGGTTAGCCTGGCCCAGGTCATGAGGGACTGCAGGGTTAGCCTGGCCCAGGTGGTAAGGAGGGTTAGGGTTAGGCTGGCCCAGGTGATGAGGAGGGTTAGGGTTAGCCTGGCCCAGGTGATGAGGAGGGTTAGGGTTAGCCTGGCCCAGGTGATGAGGAGGGTTAGGGTTAGCCTGGCCCAGGTGATGAGGAGGGTTAGGGTTAGCCTGGCCCAGGTGATGAGGAGGGTTAGGGTTAGCCTGGCCCAGGTGATGAGGAGGGTTAGGGTTAGCCTGGCC